TTTTTTTTTTTTTTTTTTTTTTTTTTTTTTTTTTTTTTTTTTTTTTTTTTTTTTTATATTTATGTTGGTTGAATTAGATCAGCATGAGCAGTGATGACATAATCGACCCTATGACATTTTGATAAGATTACGAACAAAATATTATTTAAGAATGATTCGGATGGGAAACGAAGCATCAACAAACTCTTATTTATTTATTTACTGTCCATTAAATTCATATTCGTTAGAATAATGTCGTACCAGAAACAGACTGATATGATAGGTCTCGTCATTGCATTTAATCTCAATAGTGGGATGATATTTTTTAAAATACTCAAATCACGTGCTATCTCTATTTCTGATTAAGACAAGACATTCATGTACGGCTGACGACGATATCGCAACTCGAGACTATGACACATGCATAAGGTTATCATATTTATTTTATTTCACCTTTTGTTGTGTCGTTTTTTTTAAGGTGTTTTCAAAATACATAAGTCCATGACTGTATTTTAAGCTGAATGTTATATTTTATGACCGTTTAAATAAAGTATTTATGCATTCAATGTTTATGATATGTATACAACAACGACCTTAAATTAAATAGAAAATTTTGGGTCGTTACATATTTACTATCGATGAAATTCATATTATTTAAGAGCGACGTAGAATTAAATAAAAAAAATAAAAAAATAAGAGAACACCCCAATTTATTCGATAAGATTAACGATAAAGTCAACAAAAACAAAAAATAATAATAATAATAACATCATGTGGATCCTTAGTCTTAGAAGCATCAAATGGGCATAAATATAATACAAACTTTATTAATCAAATTCAATTATAAAGTTTTTGTTATTTTTATTTATTTATTTATTGGGGCTCGGGAGTGAGAGCTGCGTACGTTTTCTTTGGCGACACGTAGTTTACGTTATTATTAGGTTTAGAGACGTGAGGATGAAAATAGTGATTGTTTTTGCAAGGAATGTACGTGAACGACTTGTCGTCCCCGCAGTATTTAGGCCTATATGCAAACTCGACACATTCTGCTTCAGGTCTTTGCTTTATTAGTCCTGGTATGCAGTTGTTCGAAACGTCTAAAATCTTCTTTTTTATTAGCTTCTTGCAGTGTGGTCCCACCTAAATAAATAAATAAAATAAAAATTCACTTTTTTAATTTTTTTATAAAAAATAAATTTATAATTTATTTAACCGATTTAACGTGAAAATTTTAGAAATATTTGAAGGATATGTATCTATTAAATATAAAATTTTAATTTATTGAATATAAAAATAAAAATTTAAAATTTTAATTAAATTTTAAATAATTATTAGATTCAAAATTTTAAGAATTTCAAAAATTTAATTAAACAAAAAAAAAAAAAAATCTATTAAAAGCTATTTAAAATTAAAAAAATGTGTTTTAAATACAAAATTGAAAATTATTAAACATTTTTTAAAAAATTTATAGATTTCTCAGACCCAAATTAAAAATTAAAATATATTTTAAAATTAAAATTTGATAGGAGACGTACCTGAGTGAAGAAATTGTTCTTCAACGTGAAGTTACCAAGTTTAGGTAACTTGCAGATTTCCTCCGGCACCGGTCCGTACAATTGGTTGTCCGCCAAATACAGATGCTCCATCTTGGCCATGCAAGCCAAGGAAAGCGGTATGGGTCCAGTGAGGCGATTCTTCCCGGCGTCGAACAACACGGCGTTTTCCAAGTAACCGATCTCGAACGGCAAACACCCTTCCAATTGGTTGTTGAAGAACACAATTTCTTCCATCGTCTTCTTCGCGTCCCCGATGCTTCTCGGGATTGGTCCCGACAACTGGTTGTTGGCGAATGTCAGGTATTTGGCTGGAGTTCTCCCTAGATTGTACGGAAGATTTGAGCTAAATTGGTTGTTGTTTATGTAAATTGCGCTGATTATGTCCATGTTGAATATCTGCTCTGGAATTGGTCCACAGTAGTTATTGTAACGAAGATCGAGGAATGTTAGCTCTGTCGCTCCCAACACGTTTGTCGGAAATTCCCCTGTCAAGTTCACATTTTTAAGTAATGAATACATGGTATAAGGCATTTTTGGAAGCTTATAGGACAATACTATATCATTATAGAGAGTTATGATTCCTAACATAGTATCAGAGTTATATCCTAACTTAGCCATGTCGATAGAATTCTCAAATGTCGAACAAAGACATTGTGAGCATCAAAGGTGTAGTAAAAAATAACTCAAGTGTCGAACAAATGGTGCACTTTGTTCGAGGACTCCAGATAATGAGTCGAGCCTCGATTAAGAAAAGGTTATTTGATGGCTCCATAGACTTTGTTCGAGGACTCGGGGAGGCATAAAAAAGTTATGAGCCTCAAAGGTGTAGTAAAAAAATGACTCAAGTATCGAACAAATGATATACTTTGTTCGAGGACTCTAGAGAAGGAGTCGAGCCTCGATTAAGGAGAGGCAGTTCGAGGGCTACCTAGACTTTGTTCGAGGACTCGGGGGAGGCACAAAAAAGTTGTGAGTCTCGAAGGTATAGTAAAAAAATGACTCAAGTATTGAACAAATGGTGTACTTTGTTCGAGGGCTTCCTAGACTTTATTTGAGGACTCAAGAAGGATGTTCGAGGGCTTCATAGACCTCACGGAAGCTCATAGTAAAGTAGAGTCGTGATTCCTAACACAAAATTTCAAAACGAACTTACCGGAAAGTTTGTTGTTACTAAGATCCATCTCAAAGAAGAATCGTTGATGATTAATTTTGTCGGGAATCGGGCCAACGAAGAAATTGGAATTGACATGAAACACAGCGATATCATCCAATTCATCCATAAATCCTTCAAGAAACAGCTCCGGACCTTTAAATTTGAACCCGTTAAAGCTCACCGCCGACACCGTCCTCTCTTTCATCCTGTCCGGTAAATGGTCGCATCGGAATCCTTTATAACGGCACACGTCCTTCTCCTTCCATGTCTTCACCACGTCCATCCTCCCGCCGGTGATTTTCCTTTTCAGTCTCTGTATCACAAAGTAAGCCTTTTTCAGCCGCTCGTTCTCGAACTCCGGTGGCGGTGGCGGACAAGGAACCGGCGGGTTTTCCGGAGTTTCCGGGTTCGGGTCGGGGCCGCCACCGATGATTATTTCCAGGGCACTCCTGGAGTTGAGTTGACCGTCGCCAGCCGCCGGCCGAGCTTGCGCCGGAGAGGGAGGGGAAAGTAGAAGGGAGGTGAGAGGAAGGAGGAGGAAGAAGGTTGAGAGCAAAGAGAGAGAAGCCATGGCTGCTGCGTCTAAGAGGAGAATGAAGAACAATGGTGTTAAATAGAGAAATTACATGTTGAAGATGAGGAAAAATAAAATTTAATTAGGTTTATTTTAATAGCTTTTAAATTAAACTCGACCCTAACCACTACCCAACTTCTAATCCATAATCTAACGTCAAATTATCTCTTAAAATAAAATAGACGATTATTTGAGTTCTTCAACCGTTACAAGTTTTAAAAAATAATTTATAAAATTACCTCGCGAAAATGTGAAACTTTCCTTATTGCAAATAAAAAATGTGTAAAATTAATAAAAAAATGAAAAAAATGTCCCACGTGCTCTAGTGTCAACCTTACTAGCTAAGGTGTCCTACACTTCCTGGTTACTTAGCTCTAGTTGGATATTATCTTAGAGATGATCTTAGTTCTAAACCTCTTAAACTTGAAACTTGTTCGGTTGAAGTCTCAATATCACTTATTTATAAAAATAATTAATGTTGACATGATTCTCAATGAGCTATTTCAAGTTCAGAATACACCTCCCGATTAAACATGTGCTTGTGAGTCTCGACACCACTTTGAAGGAAAACCCAGAAGGGAAAGTCCAAAGAGAACAATATCTGCTATCAGTGGACTTGGGCTGTTACAAATGATATAAAAGTCAGATACCAAGGTACCAAGCAGTGTGCCAACAAGAAGTTGAGCCACCCAACATTCCTTATAGAGGTGTAAAAACCTATCCCTAAAATACGTGTTTTAAAAACCGTGTAGGTAACAACTATACGTAACCAACAAAAGCAGACAAAAATCATCCTGAGCTAATCATAGTTGCGATATATTATTTATTATAACTATTTAATTCCCTTATAATGTCAAATCTTGAAGAAAAAATATATATAAAATACCACGAAATACCATGTTCTACTATTTCATGTTAAGCCATATATATATATATATATATATACCCTTCTTTTTTTAAAGCATTTTCAATTAAGACTCGATGAACATTTTTTTAATTTAATGTCGTCAATATTAAAATTGACTCATAATAATTTTGCATAATATAATACTTAAATAAATTAATGAAATTTTAGAATAGAAAAAATTAAATATTTTTTTTTATTTATAATCGAATTTAATATATACTAGACGAGGAACCAAATTTAAAAATATTAAAATATGTGGGACTAAATAAAAAAAAATAAAAAAAATCATATTTGTAATTTATTTTAGAAGATAATTAATTTAAAAATATATATTATTATTATATCTATTAACAAAAATGGCCGTCCGTTATTTAATATATTTAAATCAATTTTTAATAATAATATTAAAATCATTGAACTTTTCTCTATATATATTTAATAATCATTTGTATATATTTTCAATAAAATTAGGTTTAAAAAATATTTAAATAAATAAGTACAGTTAATACTTACTAGCTATTAATATTAAGTTAAAGTACTTTTTTACTTTTAATTTTGTTCTAATAAATCCTTGAAGAAAATAAAAAATTGTAATTTTTTATTTTTAATTTTGATTAATTTTATAATTTAACCTTTAAATTATTATAATTTTTGGGATTTAATTATTTTAATTTTTAAACATTTTCTAGCCACGTCGACCAGATAATATTTGTTTTCTTTGTAGCATATATTAAAAAAATTCTATAAATTGAAAGGACACATTTTTAATCCCTAATTATCTGTAATTTATTCTAATATATATATATATAAGCCATTTATTTGCTGTTACCAATTATTGTGTTCGGTAGAGAAAACAAAATTCAGCCAATTATATATATATATATATAAAATAATAAAGACCAATATTTTACAATTTTTAGGGAAATTTTTTAATTTTAAAAGGACGACTTAGTCAACTATTTGGAATTTATAGAATATGCATATTTTAAAAATCATGTGATAATTAATAGAAATTTAAAGTGTTTATTGATTTTTTTTATTTTAAGTCACAACTAAATAAAAATAAATAAATAAATAAAGTACTTGCCTATTTATTTATTTTTAAATACTCAATATTGTATTTCATTTTTTTTAATCCTTTTATATTTAAAATGATTCAGTACACCCCTGATTTAAAAATTATTATTTGATGATCACACTCTTTTAAGACCATTAAATTAACTTCATCTGATTATGAACTAATCTCGTTTTAAATCAAATAAAGAACAAAAAAAAAAAGTCAATTTTTTATTTTTATTTTTATAACATATTGATGGAAAACAAATTAGTATTAATCATGAAAGTAAAATTTTGATTTAAAAATAATAAATTTTTATTGACTTGATGTTGTCAAATCATAAATTCGACATTTTATTAGGTAATTCAATAATTGACTTTAATAAAAAAATTATAAAAATAACTTTAGTTAAAAATATGATGGGAAATTTAATATTTTTTTTATATATATTGAAAAATAAATAAATTAATTATTTAAAAAGATGCACAAATCCACTCGGAATTAATTAAGAATAAACCAATAATTTATTGAATCATGTCACGCTCAAATTTGTTAGGGCTATAGAGATTTTATTAAATTATATTACGACGTACTTTATATTATAAAGATATTTGTCCCATCTCTTTCCATTTGAGCAAGAAAAATCAATTTTATATTTATAAATTAAGTTAATGATTATATTTAATTTAAGCTCTAAACTTTTATTGTGATTTATAACTATTTTAATTCATTTTATTTAAATTTAGTTAAATAAAATTATACTAAATTTATAAAAATTATTTCTAATCGATAAAAATTTAGTTAATGATTTTAACATTTCTCGCTAATATATACATTAATCTTTTACATTTAAACGGGTCATTACATTAACATAAATGTCCATTTAATCCATAGAGACGAGTCTCAAATAGAGAATTCTAGTTTAAATCGAAAATAGAGAAGAGGGTACGAGGAGATTTCTCCTCGTTAATTAAATGGGGATAGAGATGGAGTCTCTTGCTTTATATTATTAAAATTAAAACATAAAATTCATATATCTATATCTATTTATATATATATATATATATATATATATATATATATATTATATTTACTAAAAAAAATAAATTTATTAAATTTTCAACCTTTCCTAAATATTATTAGATTTATTATAAAATAACTTTTTAATATTTTAATTTATAAGATAAGAAAGTTTAAGTCTTTTATATATATATATATAATTAGACTATAAAAAGGTGGGAATAAAACGTAATAATTTGAAACGATCAACAATTTCATTTAATAATAATAAAAAAAACGTTAGAAAATTACAAGTGTATAGAAAATGAATTTAAAAGTTTGTTAAATAAAGGGTTTATTAAATTTCAAACCTACCATGATTTTTTTAATTATTTTTTAAAATGATATTATATTTTCACCTAACCAATATTAAACTTATAAGCCAAATATTTGTTCTCAAAATTTTCCCAACCACCTTTTATAAATAATTATAAACTAATTTTTTTAACCCCTTCAACTTAATAAAAATAAGAAAAATAAAATATAAAAATTTATCTCGAAGCTTGGTCTTGCTTCTCATTCACATTCGAAACTAACAATAGGGCTCGAACAACCGAAATAACTTAAAATATTAAAATATTAAATTTAGCACCAAAGAGTAATGGCACAAAATACTAAACATATACGAGTTTCTTAGGCCCAGTCATTTTTCGTAGTCATGGGTCTTGCTTTAGCACCATTTCACATTAGTAACTGTAGAGGACGGTTTTTGACCTTCCAATTTCCTAGTAGCGGGGTCGTCAGATATAGCAAAAGGCATCCATTTGCCGATCATGTTGGTAAGTCATGCTATGCCTTGAGATGACGGTCTCCTGTCTCCCAAAGTTAGCTACTACATTGTTTGCCTTACCACCTCGACACCGAAGACCTACGACAAAGTTCTTAAAAGTTAATTTTTATCTCTAAAATTCCAATTTTATCAAATAACAATAAAGTAATTGGTGAAAATGTTGGGAATCACGAACCTCCACAATGATATAATATTGTCTACTTTGAGCATAAGTTCTCATGACTATTCATGATCTTACTTTTAATTAGTCCCTTGATTGGGGCTCGACTCCTTTCTCTGGAGCCCTTTGTTCGACACTCGAGTCACTTTTTTACTACACTTTTGAGGTTCACAACTTCTTTGTTCGACATTTGAGGATTCTATTGATATGACTAAGTCAAGGACATGACTTTAATACCAAATGTTGGGAATCACAAACCTACATAATGGTATGATATGGTCCACTTTGAACATAAACTCGACTTTGCTTTTGGTTTCACAAAAGACATCACATTAATAGCGATAGTGTTCTTTAGTTATAAACTCATGATCTTTTCCTTAATTAGCGAACATGAGACTATTCAATTCTAAGTTTTAATGGCTTACCCTTGTCTTAGTTTTTTAAAATTTGAGAAGTGAGACCTAAAAGTTATGTAATAATCCAAGTTGAAGCTGCCGGTGCCATTGGCGCTGATGTGAATGCGTTTATCAAATGAAGTGGCGGTAAAAACCGCCCTTCGGAACCGCCGGCCGACGGCGCCGCCCAGCCGGTCAGGTGGAACCCGATTGTCCCGATCAGTTAGGTTGTTGTGGTACTGTAATTTCCTTCTCTTGGAGATTTCGATTAGGCTAGTTGAATTTCTGTTTCTTCTCGTAGAACGACCAGAAATCCATTGCTAGTTCTGTTTAGTGCAATGTACTGTTCGCGGAGCGTTTCTTAGCCGGAAAGTTCATATGATTTGGTTATTGTTCTTTCTGAAATATAGCTTATTGAAGTTCGATTCAATTCGCTTCCTGCATTTGATTCATCGTGTAAAGAAGTAATGCAGGTTGCGAAGAGATATCTCTGTACTTCTTTAGTTGAAAAAAATCCAATTCGCAACCGTTCAGCTGATGATTTTCAGTATCTTTCTCCTTTCTTCTCGATTGCAGTTACCGTTGACAGTTTAGCTGCTGGTTTGAGCTTGTAAATCTGTTTTTTGTGCTTACTTGAGAAGTATATCGCAGCCTGCTTTGTTTTTTTCCCTGATCACGAAAAATTTACATGAACTAGCCACAGTTCAATCTGATGCAGTTGTTTTCTCATTCTTCCATAGTCTTAGATGCCATGGCAAATTGTAAGTAGTTCTTGCAAATTGGAACTCAATCCTTTTGAGGATTTTTGTTTACCACAAAGCTGAACGTTGTAACGCTTGGAAATTTTCTGCCATGTTTCTTCTTCCATTGTTTTGTACAACAATCTTCCATGAACTGTGAGTTTCCAATTCGAATTCCTCTTAAGGGGACACACTGCATGGTGGATTTTGTACTCCGAGGTCTGTTTCCATCAATGTTTGTTAAAATTCCAGGATTGGCTGGGAGGATCAAAGGTAACCGACTCATCTGCTATTTTCCTTTTGAATGTTCATGGAAAGCTATCATTAATTTGTTGATGATTGTTTAGTGTAGACCTTCAGTTCACCATTCAAAGTTTGTTTAACTAATTGGAAATGATCATACATATTATCTTTCATTAACCTAGTCATTTATTCTTTATTAGAATGAAGGTCTGGTCGTTTGTTTTCTTTTATTTTTCTTCCATTAGGTTTACTAAAAGATCTAATCAGCATGACATCATTTCATGAACTTATAATGTTAAGGGGAGAGATCGAAAAACATTATAGAGAATTTTAAATTGAACAATCTCCATTCATTAAGAAAAGCTGATAACCATTTCCCTCCACCTTGGGGTTGGAAAAGAAAAAGGAAAAAGAGCTAACTAAAACAAAAAGGTGGGGGGAAGGGGGGGTCCTCCAAGCCGAAAATGACCGTTGGTAAAAAGTCAGTCTCTTCCTTTCCCCTCAAACTTTGAATGATTAAATAGTATGTTTAGTTTATGAACCTTTATTAACTAATTGAGGTATACTCAGTATGGTTGCATAGGTTGTTTGTTATCTTGTCTTGTAGAAAGGAAAAAGTATATGTAGCCGAAAAATTCGCATTATGTTGCATATTGTGATTTATTGCCCTTCATTTGCATGTTGCTTCATCCTAATTTGCAGGTGCTAATGGATGCATATAGCTTAAAACTCTACAATGGTGTAAAGTTGGACAACTGCACCATTAGTTAACTTAATTTTTTTCTTACTGATTTATATCATATGAATTCAAGGACTTCACCGTGAGTTTCTGTCCTAGATGACTGATCATAGTTGGTGAGTTTGTTTATATCATTTCTGAGCTGGGGTCTTCTGCTTGTTGATTTGACCACATTGTTTATGTGACTTACCAGTTATCCCATCCTCAGGTTCCTTTAAAATCGGTGATCAATGTTTAATAATTTTACATAGTGCGAGTTTTCCATTGAAACCATGTGGGTGATGTGTTAAATTATTTGAGTACTATTACATGGCAAGAGCATAAGGTGAAGCAAAAAAGGGAGGGGGTAGAGGACATAGCTAGTTAAGCTGGAAGTTATTTTATCAATGTAATCGATTCATTAAAATTCATTCCAGACTTGTTGACAGAGTTACTAGTTTTTAATACTTCAACACATCTGTAAACTGCAAACTGCTGTTTATTGGAATTGAGTACCCAAGTGGATTGATTTTCCCCACGCACTAATGTTCATCAAAGCTAAGATATCGTTTTATAACAACTTTTAGCGCAGGTTAGTAGTAACTTTTGACAGCAAGTTCGAAGATGGTGTGATGGCCGAAATCAAGTTTTTCCCCCCTCTTTGAAGGCAATGATGAGCAGCTATATGCCAGGATAGTCAGTAAGTTGTCTCATTCCATCATCTTGTTTTATTGATGTTTGGCAGTTGAAATCATCTGCTAAATGAAGGCTAGTCATTGCTTACATGCTTCCCCTTCTGCTCCATCTTTTCTCCTCCCGCTCTTCAACAGAGTGGTTGAAGTTTGTTTAAATTAGGGGAGTCAAAAGAAGTCAAGCTCAACCTGTGAGTTTCATCTACTCATGATGGTCAAGGCGCCATGTGAGCCATGATTTCAAAAGGTACAAAAGTTTTTTTTTTCCCCCTTTTCTTATTTGGATGACAACTAATAGACCATCAATGGCTAATCCAATCCATTCACATAAAGTCTCACCATTCAACAGGAAATGTGGAAAATCAAACACAATCGCATTTTAAACACAAAAGCATGGTGGGTTGAGGTAACTTTGAAAGCTTTGCACTTCATTTTGTCAAGATTTTGATAATGCCAAAGAGTAGGGCTTTTACATTTGTTCAAAAAAGATATCTCTAGTAAATGATTGCGAGAAAATTAAGATGAGAATAGTTAGATTACAAGATTACAAGTAGAACAATATAACAGAATTGTCAATTGCTTGCTGATGAGGTGCTTTGTTCTGTGGTTTGGAAAACTAGTTTTCTCCAAATTTAAAGCCTGTAGAATTATATATATAGATTCCACCATTATTGGATATTGTGAAATAGAGTATGTATTAGAACCTATCTAGCGAGTAGAGAAAGTACAAGTCTGAACTGAATCTCATCCTACTTAGTATTGGGGACTTGATGATTATAGCCTCAAAATCTTTATGAAGCTATGCATCTTGTAGAGTGAATTTGGGATTAAAAAAGTTAAGAAAGGTATATATATAATAAGGAAAGAGACATAATTATTAAAATTAGGGCAATGGAACCCAAAAGACAAGGACAATGTATAAAATTGAGGCCTTTGAGAGGGGAGGGGGTGTTTCCAAGTATTTAATAGGGACAGACAGCGCCCCTAAATTGTAAGTCATGTTTGGTTTAACAACTTTTTTGGGTCAAAGTAAAGCATTGTCCTGTCTGCACCTTCTTTGTCCTTTTTTGGTTTTTTCAATCACTGCCTCGGGGTCCCTTTATTTTTTTACTTTTAATATTTCTTCCTTTTTGACGTTTATACCCCTATACCATTGGGATTATATATATTTATTTCTTTATTATTATTTTTTTAAACAAAGCCCAAGTCTATAAAAATATAAAATAAAAGTTCAAAGGCCAATTTCGAGATTAATAATTAAAGTATCTCTACTAGTATTTTTTTTCGAAGACTTTGATAGGTTATATATATATATATATATTAATATATACTAAATTAAGCTTTAGAAGGATCTATTTAAATTCCCACTAAATTATTTTTTCTTGATGGTAATAATAGTAGCTCTTGGTTTCATGCACGATATAGTTTAGATTTAACCGAAGAAAAATAAAATTATAGAAAAGTTTTGAGTAATTTGCAAAATTCGTTTATTTTCTTGGATCTATATAATATAATCTAACTTATTCATTGATTCGAGTATAAATCAATAAATTAACCTAGTTTACTAATCTTTCTAAAGGTCAAACTATTTGCTTACGAGTATATCTTAGCGATTTTGTATAAATCAAATGTTCAAATTCTCATTTGTTGTATAACCACACTTAGAGTCAGAGTTGGGGGAGTAGGGGATTTTTTTTTTTAGATTTTAAATTTAGATTGCACATAGTATATAAAACTTTAAGAAAGAAAAATGGAGTGTATTCATAATAAAACCCAAATGAAGAGAGAGGGAAAAGAAAAAGGGAAAAGTAAAGGAGGGGTTTTTAAATTTGAAAGTAAAACCCTAGAAGACAGTCTTTCTCTTTCTCTTTCTCTCTCTTACAACGCAGTGAATTGGGCATTGCCATTTATTTAGATTTCTTATGAGGTTGTTTTCATGGGGTCCGGCTTGATGTGTGTGCCGTTGCGTTTCTGCCCGCCAACGGGACACACCGAAAGCACAAAGATTTCCAAACCCCAATGCATATAAAACATAAAGAGACTCTCCACCAGAACCAGACCAACCCATCGTTCCTCTCTCTCTCTCTCTTAAGCTTTTTCCTCTGCTCCTTCATTCTTCTGCACAGTTCCGACTTCCGACGGACATGGACGGCCATTTGAGCTGCTGCTGTTTCTTCTTCCTTTATTGAGTTATCTAATCGAAGCTTTCATTCGATGGCAATACATCGGTATGAACAAGCTGATGATGAAGGCCAAACCCATTTGTTTCCGCTAGATTCTTTGTTCTGTGAGGAGAAATGGGGGGAGGAGGAAGATAAAGCTGAGGTAGAACATACCCATCAGACCCATCTTTTTTCTTTGGGATTTTTGGAGGAGGATCTATCTGGGGAAGATGAACGGCTTCTCTCCATGTTGTCTAAGGAAACAGAGCAGCTGAAACAGAGCAATCTCGAGCTTGAAGTTCTGTTGAAAGATCCTTCTGTCTCTGCTGCTCGTTCTTCAGCTGTAGAGTGGATGCTCAAAGTCCAATCCCATTATGGGTTCTCAATTCTCACTACCATTTTGGCCATTGCTTATTTCGACAGGTTCCTCTTGAGCCTCCATTTTAAGAGTGACAAGCCGTGGATGAGCCAGCTTGTGGCTGTCACTTGCCTCTCCTTGGCGAGTAAAGTGGAGGAGATTGAAGTTCCACTTCTGCTGGACCTTCAAGTATGTTCAGAATATGCAATACCCTCCATTTGAAACCGTGTTCTAATGGTTTGGATTATTAAACTTTGTTCTTGCAGATAACGTGTTTGTTTTAATGTTTCAGGTAGAGGATGCTAAATATGTGTTTGAGGCCAAAACCATTCAGAGAATGGAGCTTCTAGTGCTCTCAACTCTTCAATGGAGGATGCATTTGGTGACTCCATATTCTTTTCTTGATCACATTGTAAGGAGGCTTGGGTTAAAGTCCAATCTTCACTTAGAGTTCTTCAGGCGTTCTGAGCATCTTCTCATCTCTCTGCTCTCAGGTTAGAACTTACAATCACTTTAATACAGATAAGACTTTGTGCATTACACGTACAAATGAAGCGGAAAATGATAAAATTTGGTCTCTTTTCTTGAATTCTCGTGTCATGACTTGAAACTTCTCTTGGATTTTCTTTAGATTCCAGATTTGTTGGTTATCTTCCATCTATCTCGGCAACTGCAACAATGATGGGAGTGATAGATCAGATTGAGCCCCATATGTCATTGGAGCGCCGAGATCAGCTTCTGGGTGTCCTCAAAATTGACAAGGTTTGTTCAAGAAGAAATCTCATTTCAAGTTCACTGCTTGGTTTAATCAAAACCCATCATTTGATCTTAACTTTTCAAACTTCACCTGAACAGGAGAAAGTGCAATGCTGTTACAATCTTGTCAAGGAGCATTCTAAGGCCTATGGCAATGGCAATGGCATTTATCATCCCAACACCCCCCACAAGCGCAAGCATGAACAGCAAGCTCCTGATAGCCCAAGTGGTGTAATCGATGCTGGTTTCACTTCAGACAGCTCCGATGATTCTTGGGCTTTGAAAGCAGCATCAGTCTGTTCATCACCTGAACCTTCTTTCAAGAAGAGCAAAACCGAAGAGCCAAAGATGAAGTATCATTCTCTTAACAGGCCATTTCTGGACATCGTTGGCAGCCCTTCTTGATTCTTAATATGCCCCTCCTTTCCCCTCCAAAGTTCTTGGGAATGATCATTGTTATAATGCTGCACCATTTCTCACTTTTGTTGCTGCAAGTTGGGGAAACTTTTCTTCCATTGTTATCCAATTACCCACAATGCCCTTGGCATCAGAATGGGTAGAAGGATGAAGAGCACTGAAGGAGGGGATTCCATGGGAATTTTCCCAAGATCAGAAGTGATCAGAAAAAATGGGTTATTGGAGAAGACAAAAAAAGTATGCAGTAGTCTGGCTTCTTCTCTAAAACTGTATACCATTTCTGTCATGACGACTTTTCTCCTTGTTTTGGACAAAACTCATATATTATTATCAAATAAAAGCACAGCATTTCTTGTTCATTAGTGTTGACTTCTTATCTGTTAATAATTTTTTGAATATCATCATGTTTCATTGCCTATTAGCTTCAATGCAGTGGTTGAATCAGGCAAATGGGTATACCTTAAACGGGCTTATCCTGTCTTTTGGAAAATTGTGAGTTGGTTTGAATGGATTGGGTTAGGAATCACGATTCTTCATACTAGTATGATATTGTCAACTTTAAACATAAGCTATCGTGGCTTTGCTTTGTGCTTCCTGAAAAGGTCTCATACCAATGCAGATGTAATCGACTTTTCTTTAAGTGTTTGTATTTTCTTTTCATAACGACAGTGACTCTGAACCTTTCGATCAAATCTGGATGGAGTGGTTTCTTTTGGAGGGTAAATTTGAATCCAAATTTATTTTGTGGGAAATGCTGCTTTTTGACTAGACATTGAAAAAAGTGAATGAGCTGTGCCATGGTAATTCTCTTGGATTTCTCCTATGCTTTTTAGTTTTTGGCTGTATGTGAAATCCCTTGTGACTTTGAGGGTATCTAAATTTTAACTATGATTAATACTCGATTATGATCCGTTAATGTTGTGTTATCACGTGATCGAACACACTTTTTCTTACGATTTACATTTTTTTCACATGTCGACCTGTTTGATAAAAACACTTTTAAAGAATCAGCGTCCCAAACATGAACTAGACTTTTTACTATTCGTCACGAAGATGAAACGGGATTTCGTTCATCGTTATTAGAAAAAATCAATCGTAGAAGATTCTTTACTTGTGATTATCTTCTCCTTTTTTTCCTCTTTCTTTCTCTTTTCTTTCCTTTTAACATCTTTTCTTCTCTATCTCGATTAGCTTTAAATATTGGATTTGTGCTCATGATATCAACGTCAAATAGTTGATATCATTTGATGAATTTTTTAATAAGATATTAGTGCTCGAATTTACGTCGATTCTTATAAAATGAGAAGGATTCAATCCTAACACGGATGAACTAATTAGATAAATTTGATAAATCAATTAAAAAGAATTGGGTCCTTTACTTTATATTTTTTTTTAACTATTTCAATAATTAGAAAATTGAATATTATCGGTTCAACTATGCTCAAATTGATTAAAAATTTCTATTTATTTTCTCATTTTTTTTACTCGTTTGTACCACAAATAGAATATGAAGATTTGAACGTCAGACCTTATTCAATGTCGATTAACACTTAGTTTTTACTTAAAACGAAAATGGATTTCAATTTTGGACACAAATACCCTCTTGCATTGCAATTTGCAGCATCTTTTTTTACATTTTCTTTATTCATAAATACACGTTTTAGGGCTTTTCTTGGCAAACAGCTGTAAAGTTTTTAATGCTAAAATAAAATAAAATAAAAAAATAAATATGATTATCATCCTCCAAATTTAAAGGAGTGATTTATAAGCGATAATTAAACTACTTCAAATCAATATTAAATTAACATAATCTTATTATACGTTGCTATACGATTTTTAACCATAATTCAAATTGATGACAGAAATACGAGAATTTAAATATCTACAAATTACTACCAATATTAAAATTAATAATTTAAATAATTTAGAAATAAAATATTCCCACATCCTTTATTAATGATCAATAATTTGAGAAGAAGAAGGAGAAGAATATTTAATTTAATAAATATGAAGAATGGAGAATACAAAAAAAAAAAATAATAATAAAAAATAAAAAAGTATTCCAAATGGTCCCTTTTTTGTATGGGAATTTCACTCCCTATGCATGACTCAATTTAATGATTATTATATAAAAAAAAAACATTTTGTGTCTCTATCCTGTTTTGCAATGGGGGATCCAATGTCTTGTAGGATCATTTTTTTTTTTTTTTTTTTTTTTTTTTTTTTTTTTTTTTTTTTTTTTTTTTTGGNTTTGTCCCTTTCAATTATATATGTTTTTTTTCCGATGGGTTATCGTGAATTTATTTATATCAATATGAAAATAACGTTACCGAGATTTGAATACGAGACCTTATTCTCTAATACGTCAATAGATAACCGTTTGTATAGCACTTCATGTCTAGGACTCGGAATCTAAATTCATCATCTGATGACTTCGACATTTTCATGCATCTCTAGTGGTATGATGTGAGATCCATATCGACTAGAGAGAAGAATGAAACATTCTTTATAAGGGTATGAAAATTTTTCCCTAATATATGCGTTTTCAAATCGTGAGACTGACGTCGATACGTAACGGGTCAAACCAGACAATATCTATTAATGGTGGACTTGGATCTTTTACATATGATCGAACCAACCTGGTTCCTTCTAGCATGTTTTGTCTTTACTCACATACTTTCTAAAAAGAATCTCGAACACGAGGCATTATTATTTTATTATTATTTTTTTTTTTTGAATTAGTAACTCATGAATTTACCACAACGGATTGAAAAGAACAAAACATAATAAATGAACCAAAAGTAATTTTGTCTAACTTAAAGTTTATCTCATCTTCGAAACCCATCTCTTTTGATTTTAATGATATTCATGTTCGTGTGTACGTATGAATGCGACGCTGATTCTTTTCTTTTTAATAAAATTTATGCGGTTAGAATCAATACATTTCAAATACATACGTGACAATTCAATTTTAACCGTTCGACGTATTGATCGATGATATGTTTAAATCAAACCGGTAGACGATGTTAAAAAAATGGAGGGAAAATTATTTTAAAAAAATGAAAATGAATAAATGGGGTGACCTAGAAATGGTGTCCCACATCCAATATGTTAAATGGGAAATGGACAAAGAGCATTAACTCACTACACATAATGAAGGGTAAAAAACAGTGCAAATTTTGGTGGTCCTTTTGGCATAGACAGGTTGGAATTTACCCTAAAGTAAAAATAAAATGGTAAAAAAAAAAGGGAATTACTGCAATTTCTTTATTGTAGATTTAATTTGAAAAGGGTATGGCCTAAATTTGTGAAAAATAGGGGTGAAATTGTGCAGCCATGGCCATGTCTGCCCTCTCAGACAAAGATTTTGGGTATCTTTTAACAGCCTACATTGAACCCACCCTTCAAATTTAAGGTCAACTCCTTTTCAATTTCAACCACAAAAGTCCCATCTCCCTTATCTTTCGTTTTGAATATTATTGCGAGCAGTAGTCTTCAAGATCACGGGTTTATAAGTAAGAAACACTATCCCTATTAAGATGGGCATTTTGAAAAAACTATAAGTAACGTCATGAGAACTTATGCTCAAAGTGGATGACATCTTACTATTGTGATGGTCTTAGTTTCTAACGTGATATTACAGTCATGTCCTTAAATTTGTCATGTTAATAGAATTCTCAAATCTCAAATGATGTAATTTGTTGTTCAATGACCCTTAAGAGAACGAAGTCTCAGGGGAGACTCTGTAGTGTACTTTGAAACACTGGGTCCAAAGTTATGAAAATTTATTCTCAAAGTGAATAATATCATACTATTGTGGAAGTTTATGGTTTCTAACAAAAGACTCGTTTGTTGGTCGAGATATTTAAATTTCGATGTCATTGGACTAATGGAACAATTGGGTCTTTGAAAGGACGTTTGAGACACCGATATCGATTTGAAATCCGTTTGAATTAGGTAATGGTCCAATAGACCCAAAAATGAAATCTACCCTTTGTTTAGGCCCATCTGCAAACCATATTTATACATGGATGGTAGCCAAGTATTAGCTGATGTTTGATGGTAATTATAAACATTCATAGGGTTAATAAACATCCTTACCTTCCAAGTAAAGTGGGAACGAAAGGAAATGGAATTGTTTTGTCTTCTCGATAGCGGGAAATGATAGAAACGTGCGTCTAAAATTTATATGAAGAGACTGCTACAATGTGACTGACAGTTTTGTATTGTTAAATATATGAATTATTTCAAAATTTTACATGAATTGTTGTTGCCAAATATTGATACACGAATTTGATCCCAGTAAATAATAACGGAAGAAAAATACTTGTAAAGTAACAATATATAGATCTAAGTTAGATCAAGATTTGTATTAGTATAGCAAGAATAAGAATTAGGTAGTCTTCTCTTTCTATTTCTATGAGGTTGATCTAGGGTTCCCGAGTTGATCCCAACTTAACCGACCAATCGACTTGAGTTTACTAGGGTTGAACTTATGGGCATGTCTTCCAGCTCTTAGGGGCCTAGTTGGTCCGAGACTTTGTTCCACCCAAGCCCATCTCATGTGTTAGTGCTAGTTTCTTTACATTTTCTTTACGGTCTCCTCGTATAGACAAATTTCGATTTTTCTTATGAGTTTGAATCCTCCATAAACATTTTTTTACGTAGATTTTTTAATCAAACCATACATCAAATTAAGGATATAATGGTTAATCTTTTGTTCATTTATGAATATGAGTTTCTAAACTCCAAAGAAAAATCTTAGTTTCGATTTTTTCTATAAGTTTGAATCCTCTATAAACATTTTTTTTCATAGATTTTTTAATCAAATCATACCTTAAATTAAAGATATAATGGTTAATCTTTTTTTCATTGATTAATATGAATTTCTAAGCTCCAAAACAAAAATCCTAGTTTCAAATGTTACCCAACTCTCTCTCAAATGCAAGAATGCCTCAAATTCGAGCAATTAAGAAACACCAACGTGTCTCATTAGTCACCCAAATTCGGAAATCGGCTTATCTCGCGGCCTCCATACTTCCGTAATAGAAAATCAATTCATCAAACCCCAAAGCTTGAGATGCGGCAGATACCCACTTGATCCACTACAACCCCTTTTGTTGTGCATACAAGATTTCGATGCATCGATGAGAGATAAACCCATCAAAGTTTTCCTTCTTCATTTTCGAGGAGATAAAATTTGATCGGCGCCGGCGACGTAAATTCAAGCTGATTGACAATCAAACCTTACTGGGTAATCTCAGATTAAGCATTTTTCTGCAATCCCATCTCCCATTTCAGCACTGCCCGAACTTGATCGAATGGCTTCCCTCTCGATTGGGATTCATTTGCCCCCTTC